CACGGTGGGCTGGCCGCAGGTCCTGCGGGGCTGTCGCACGGTGGGCTGGCCGCAGGTCGTGCGGGGCTGTCGCACGGTGGGCTGGCCGCAGGTCGTGCGGGGCTGTTGCACGGTGGGCTGGCCGTAGGTCGCAGGGTGGTGATGTGCAGATCAGAGTTGATGGGTTCAGGGCACACAAGACAGGGACTCCTGCTGGCTTCTGACTGAGCAGCCCTGGTCGCCAACACACCTCTGCACTGTGCACCGCGTGATCTGGTAGAAGCCCCCACTGCTCCACAGGACCCTGCTTTTCTCTTCCAGGAAACACCCCTGGCTTTGTCTGCCTCTTCCTACCTCCGGTGGCAAGCAGCGGACAATCCCCCGTGAAGGAAGGCACAGGGGTGTTGGTGGCTCAACCTGTGGTCAGCTGCTGCTGCAACCGGGGCTCTACTCCCTGCACACAGGGGCACCGTGGGAAACTGACTCCTCTCTGCATTTCAGTAACCTCGGCTGTGAAACAGGCACTGGCTTGCGGAGGCCGCCTTTACTGGGCTTAGCTCTGCCAGCACTGGCTGTGGGACCAGGTGGGGGGAAAGTCACTTCTTCCTTCGGGACCTCAGTCTTTTCACTGGCAAAACTGGGGAGAGCATTTTTCCTCCTTACAGAGTTGGGAGCGTGTGCTGGGGGCTGGCCCCCGGGGCAGCCTGGGTGCTGATCCTACCTGTGCAGCCAGACTCAGGAACAGACACATTTGCCTATGTAAGTGGAACACCAAGCCTTTGCCCTGAGCATTCTAGAAATTTTTTAGAAGTAGACAAATGTTATACAAGGTTTTTATCCTATCGTTCCAAAAATGATTTAAGTAACACTAAAAAATAAAAATAAAAATAAAATTAAAAAAGTCACCTATGCACAGTGACAAGCATGAGAAAAGAACCCGTGGAAATCCCAGTGGTGCTTTGGTTAAGGTGGCGTGATGATTCGGCTGCTGCTGCCTTCTGGCCAGCCCACACTGCTGGCTTCTGGAGTCCCACTGCACCTTCGCCTGCCTGTGGTCATCCTGCAGCACGGAGGGAACCCTGTGCAAACATCAGTTTCAACATACTGCAGAACTAGACTTGTCACACTTTGAATGAAGAACAGAAGGTTTCAGAGATGATTCTTCCCACACCCGTCACTGCTGTTCTCTATTATCTTACTGAAAAATAATTAGGAACTATTTGCATCACTCAGACTTGACTTCACACAGAAACCGTATGTGAAAAAACCCTGCGAATGTCAATAGACTCCAGGGACGCCGGCACCTGTGTCACAGCCTGCCACTCAGCTGAGGGTGCAGAGCCATGGTAAGAAGATGCCAGGGGCCGGCAGCCAGGTGTGTCCCATCTGTTTTCCTGAGCAGTGTGGTGGGATTGCAGGGAGGAGCTATGAAAGGTGGGAGAGAAAAAGAGCCAGGGGTTTGGGCTTCATCCTGAAGCTGAGAATGCTTTTCCAGAAGGTAGAACTGGGCTGTTCTATGGACTTCTTCCTCCTTTTTCGTATTAATAGAAACAAGATGTGAATTGGGAGAGGCAGACTCTTCCATACCTTCTCAACTCGCCCTTGGGGAGCGCTGGCCTCACTGGCCTTATTTTCACATGCTGATGCTGACAGGTGGTTTATCTGTTGCACCTGGCAGCATGAGACAGGCTGATGCGGGGCTGGCCGCAGTGGCTTATGCCTGTAATCCCTGCACTTTAGGAGGCCGACGCAGGTGGATCACTTGAGGTCAGGAGTGCGAGTCCAGCCTGGCCAACATGGTGAAACCTCGTCTCTACTAAAAACACAAAAATTAGCCAGGCATGGTGGCACATACCTGTAATCCCAGCTACTCAGGAGGCTGAGGCAGGAGAATCACTTGAACCTGGGAGGCGGAGGTTGCAGTGAGCAGAGATTGCACCATTGCACTCCAGCCTGAGTGACAGAGTGAGACTTCATCTCAAAAAAACAAACAAAAAAAGGCTGACATGGAGTAACTACATAACCTGGCCTGGTTAATTCTCCTGCTTGGAGAAGTCTTCTTCAGATAGTTCATCTTGGTGGGTTCATTTGGATTCTGCACCAGTCAAAACCTGACTTTGTAAGGGGGACAAAGGAATAGATTCCTCTTGAAATTCAAGGTCTTGCTTATGAAGCCCTTTCCTATCCCAACATTATAAAGACTTCTCTCCTACTGTCTCCAAAGCAAGGGTGCGGTGTCAGCTCACTGCAAACTCCCCCTCCTGGGTTCAAGTAATTCTCCTGCTTCAGCCTCTGAGTAGCTGGGATTACAGGTGCCTGCCACCATGCCCGGCTAATTTTTGTATTTTTAGTAGAGACGGGTTTCACCATGTTGGCCAGGTTGGTCCTGAACTCCTGATCTCGTGATCCGCCTGCCTTGGCCTCCCAAAGTACTGGGATTACAGGCGGGAGCCACCGCGCCTGGCTGCCTCTTATATTTTGTTACAATATTGAATTAGCCTGAGATTTTTTATATGTGCCACAATTTAGACATCCAAGTTGCGCTCTCTCCTCCCGCTGCCTAAAATGCCGAAAGGAAAGAAGGCTGAAGGGAAGAAGGTGGCTCCAGCCACTGCTGTCGTGAAGAAGCAGGAGGCCGAGAAAGTGGTGAATCCCCTGCTTAAGAAAAGGCCTAAGAATGTTGGCATTGGACGGGACATTGAGCCCAAAAGGGACCTCACCGGCTTTGTGAAATGGCTCCACTCTATCAGGCTGCAGCGGCAGAGAGCTACCCTCTATAAGCGGCTGAAAGTGCCTCCTGTGATTAACCAGTTCACCCAGGCCCTGGACTGCCAGACCTCCTCAGCTGCTTAGCCTGGCCCACGAGTACAGACCTGAGACAAAGTAGGAGAAGCAGCAGAGGCTGTTGGCTCGGGCCAAGAAGAAAGCTACCAGCAAAGGGGACGTCCCCACTAAGAGACCACCTGTCCTTCGAGCAGGAGTTAACGCTGTCACCACCTCAGTGGAGAACAAGAAAGCTCAGCTGGTGGAGACTGCACACGACGTGGATCCCATCGAGCCGGTCGTCTTCCTGCCTGCCTTGTGTCGTAAAATGGGGTCGCTTACTGCATTATCAAGGGGAAGGCAAGACTGGGCCGTCTAGTCCACAGGAAGACCTGCACGACCGTCGCCTTCACACAGGTGAATTCGTAAGACAAAGGCGCTTTGGCTAAGCTGGTGGAAGCTATCAGGACCAATTACAATGACAGATATGATGAGATCCGCCGTCACCGGGGAGGCAACGTCCTGGGTCCCAAGTCTGTGGCTCGCATCACCAAGCTCAAAAAGGCAAAGGTTAAAGAACTTGCCACTAAACCGGGTTAAGTGTACACTGTTGAGTTTTCTGTACATAAAAATAATTAAAATAATACAAATTTTCCTTCAAAAAAAATCCAGGTTGCTTTTTCCATCCTTCAAAACAACAGCCAGCAGCTCTGAGTCTGTCTCTGACGAGGCAAATCCTTCCCCCATTTGTAATCACTGTCATGTCCCAGGTTCCCAGCTGCTTGGAGACCCTGTCCTCCGCTCTCCTGATCCACAGACACCCTGCTGTTTGGAGGCGGGAAGCTCCAGCATCAGACCTGCCTCCAGAGGCCAGTCCCTTTTCCCGGCCCGGGGCTGTTCTTGAGCATTTCCTGTCCACCCTGTCGATTTCCATGCGCAACGCCTGGTGAGATTTTGCTGTTCAGTATAGAACGCCTTGGCATCTTTCCAGTATCAAACCCTTCTCTCTGGAACACAACTTGTTTCTTGATTCAGATCTTTCCTCTCTCTCAGGAAAGTGTGACCATTTTATCCAGATGAGTCGGGAACTGATCAGGCGTTTTCCCAAGAACTGACTAGTTTTTGTGGTTATTGCCTTAAACGTTTGCTAGTGAGTCGTGGAAATGCGTGTGACTTGCTCTGGCCCTCCAGACCTTTTCACTATGAAGTCAAATATTTCTTCAGCTGGTGCACAGTTTTACTGCGACTGTTTCCATTTCACGCTTCTTCCACCCCTATCCCTTTTTGCAGTGTTGTGGGGAAGAATCACCCGGCTCCATCTCTGCACTATCTGTGTCTGCGTCATTGTGCCTTCAGCCCAACTAAGTCTCTGTATTTTGTGATTCCAGCTTTTTCTGAGTCTTACTCTATCGCCCAGGCTGGAGTGCAGTGGTGTGATCTTGGCTCACTGCAACCTCCGCCTCCCGGGTTCAAGCAATTCTTGTGCCTCAACCTCCCTAGTAGCTGGGATTACAGGTGCATGCCACCATGCCTGACTAATTTTTGTATTTTTAGTAAAGACAGGTTTTCACCATGTTGGCCAGGCTGATCTTGAACTCCTGACCTTAAGTGATCCGCCCACCTCGGCCTCCCAAAGTGCTGGGATTACAGGTGTGAGCCACCGCGCCCAGCCTGTGATTTCAATTTCTAAGGAGTTTTTTCTTACCAGTCCATTCTCTTTTTAATGGACACGATGGCCTCCGAGTCCCTTTGTGACTCCTGTATGAACATGTCCACCACGGCTAGTGCGTGTCTCAAGATGCCAATGTCCTTAGCTGTCTGGCAGCTACTTGTTGCCTGCTCATATCTGTAGACGAGGCCCAGACTCCCGCCACAGGTGTGTGGAGAAGCCCTGGCTCAGACGCTGCCTCCGCAGCTCAGGGAAGTCCTCCTGTTGTTTCTGAATGCCGGTGCGGTCTTGCCTTCCACACCAGGGTTGGCTGTGGCTTGCCACCGCCTGGTCTCCAGCACTCTCGTCTTACTGCTCACAGATTTTCTTTCTCCCGCCACAGCCCGGCTTCTAATACAAATGTCGATGTTGTGAGTAGGGATTTGTACTCTTAAAAAGTATCACCACCCTTCCTGCTGGGCTTTTCATTCCTGCTCGCTGTCCGCAGGCTGTTTAGGATCCTCACCCACCTCACAGGACTTCTATTTTTAGAGCTCATGTTTTCCTGTATATTGTAAGATCAGAGCAGACACGAGCAAAAATTGACACATTTTCCTTTTTAAAAAACATTTTTCTTAATAAAGTTTCGAGGACACTTCATCGACACAACTTTTTCTCGTGCAAAACCGTTATCAAATGTCTCAGGACTAAGGAGCGGATGGTGCCTGAGATTTTCTCGATTCCTGCAGTGAAGCTTTTTGACGATGTGGTTCCTTCACTTTGAGTCCCTCAAAGGCCCCACGTTGATCTGTTTTCTGTTTATTCAATTGTATCATCCTAGCTACTTGGAGGCTGAGGCGGGAGAATGGTTTGAGCCTGGAGGTTCAAGGTTGCAGTGAGCAGTGATCATGCCACTGCACTCCAGCCTGGGTGACAGAGTGAGACCGTGTCTCAAAAAATAATAATAGATATAAAAACAAAAGGGATGGTCTCAGCACTTGTCAAGTGACTGTCTTCCATTCATTCTCCCCTTATCACATGCGAGTGACACAATCCCGATGCTGATGAGCACGCAACAGCCGTGGGAACAAGGAGTTGGGTAGCTGAGTACCTGCCTCACTACCACCTGTCACCACAGTCCTTGCGAACTGTCCCCACAGGTCTCCCTGCAAAGGACAGGGCAGTCAAAGGTGTGCAGGCTGATACATGTGGGGGATTTTATTTCACGCGCTTGCTCTTCAGTTTTTCTTACACGATGTTCCACAAATATAAAAATGAGAAACTCCTTCAGATTATCTGTGTATCCATACACCTGGATTATTCTGGCTAAAGTGTCAGGAAGCCCCAGCAGTCTGGCTTCCCTGAGAGAGCCTGTACTGACGGGTTTAATCCCACCGTCTGAGGGTGGGGTGGCCATCAGGCATGGCTGGACACAGGAGTTTCAGTGGTGGGGTCAGAATCCAGCTTCTCCCTCTCCCGGCTCCAGTGGGTCTCTTCCCAGAAGTCCTTGCTCCTGTCTGCAGGGCTGTGCCCACTGCTGGCCGGACAGGGAGTAGACAAGGCAGGGATGACTCACTTGCTCTTCTCCTCGAGTTGCTATTCGAACGGCAGCAAATCCACAGAAAAAAGGTAAACAAAAAAACAAATGAGAATCTTTCAAAAAGAGAAGTGTTCTTTAAAAAAAGAGAGAAAAGAAGGTGAGGACTTCAGTGTAACCAGGTGACTACTCTGAACTGGGGGCTGAGTCGGCCTCTGACACTGAGCTGAATGCCCAGTGACAAATGTGACCAGCCGTGCGGGTTGGGGGGAGGCCAAGGACACAGTGGGCCCAGGGCCCAGGGCCAGGTGTGGTGCTTCCAGACGTTTCTACTCCCCCATTTTATTCATGGCGACTTGGGAAGTAAATCAGTCTTTAATGAGCAAATCTAAGGCCGCGTTTTCTTTCCAAAGTCTCCACGGGATTTTCACGGGAAAACCAGTGAGAAAATGCCCTTTCAAAGAGAAGACTGAGTGTCCTGAAAACATTTTCTTTAAAGTGCGTGCAAGGGCTGCCCTCTTGAGGCATAATAATGTGCTTAAAATAACACTTGGTAAAACCCTCTGGCTAAAAAATCAAAATTTCCAAAGCATATACATTTGAAAAAAACAAAATCTCCACTTAAAAGCTTATTTTGACTTGTTGCCCGGGATCAATTGCAAAAGCGCTTCTGTTGAGAAAGGACAGTTCAGCCAAACTCCAGCTGGTTTTTAGAAACAGAACTGGAGGGAAAAAACCAGAAAACGTAAGGCACTAGGCAAATGTGACGTAGGCTGGGATGAAACCCGTTCTCCCAGAGCCGGTCTCTCCCACAACACCAAGTTGCTCCCCGTGCAGCCAGCTGGCTGAGGGCCCGGAGTGTGTGTCTGCAGAGAGGGAGGAGTGGGCTGGGGAGGGGAAGAAGGGACGCTGGCTCCCCGAAGTGTCACCTGAGGACTGATCTGAGCTGCAGTGAGCACTTTTTACCCAGGGGCTGAGCTCCCTGGGCTCCTGTGACGTGGATGGAGCTCTCTCTGCCATGCTGCCAGCTCAGGACCCTGAAGTCCAAGGGCGCTCTCTGTACCCGGCATGCAGTCCCGGCCAGGGCCTCTTAAGGGCCGGATCCTTTGTCCATCTTCTCCCGTTCAGCCCACCCCGGGCAAACCCGAGACCATCTTCACATCACCCACCCCTGCTTCGCCACTCACTCAGTCCCCGGCCCCTCTGCTCTGTCCCTCCAGAGAAACACAAACTGGCTCAAGGCCTGAGCCTGCACGAACGGGAGGCTGAAGTCTCTGTGTGCTGTGAGATGGACTGTGGGCTCGTTTCCCCACTCACAGGAGGCCCTGGGCGTTCACTGAGTGGTGACTTCTGGAAAGAACTGAGACCCGAGCAGCTCACGCGGTGGCTCTGCCACGTCTTGCCACGCAGGCCTCTCGAGTGCCATGGGAACCGGAGCAGCAGGGGATGGGGATGGTGAGTCTGCAGTGAGCTCTGTGGCTCTCCACAAGGTCACTTGTCCCTCTGCTGCCTGGCCAGCGCCACCCTCAGGGTGTCGGTGCCCAGGCGCAGGCCCTGCAAGCAGGAGATGGCCTGCTGGGCTGTGGCTGAGTCTGGGTAATGGAGGAAGGCTCTGCGCCGTGGGCCCTGCCAGGTGAGCTGCAGGGGCACGGAGCCGAGTTCACGCAGGGCTCTCTTCAGGTCACTCACACGGGCGTCCCGGGGGAGGTTCCCAACATAAACGTCGGCTGCAAGCAGGGCACCCTCCCCTGGTGGGGAGCCACGGGCTGCCTCCATGGAATTGGCTTCTGGCCCGGGTGTGTCCGGGGGCCTTCTGCCAGCACTCAGGGGCACTGCCTGCTGGCGGCCTGGTTCCGGAAGGTGCTGGTGCTCACCCTGGAGGGTGACGTCCTTCCCAGCCTGCTGCTCTCGGGCACGGAGGCTCCTCAATACTGGGATTTTCTCCATCATCTCCCGGCTGATCTGAAAAACAAAGCAGTTGCAGCTGTTCTCAGGGACAGAGTCACAGGGCGCCTGCTACACACGCGTGCACACCTCTGACTACCGGCTGTGCTACACACGCGGGCTGCATGCCGAGTGGTCTAACTCAGCCCTAGGGACGGGACTCCCACTGTCCCACCCACTGTCTCACACAGACGATGTCACCAGTCTGTAGCTCTGCCCCTTGCCCCTGGCTTAAGGGAAATCAGCGCTCATGGGGGCTCTCTGGAGCGTCTGGCCACACGCTGTGGAGGTTGCAAGGTTGGGCCTCCATTTTCCTCCAGGCCCAGAAGCAGGAAAGTAAAGCTAGGGCTCTCTGCTCAGGCCTCCTACCCAGAAGAGGCACCTAAGGTTGCTACTATTGGGATTACAGGGTTACCAAAGGCAGCTCCCCTAATGACTTTCCCCCCCACCGAGAATAACAGGGAGCTGCCTCTGTATCTGCCCCCTACCTGTGCCTTTGGGTGGGATGAGGACTTTAATAGGACCACAGGGGTCTCCTCTCCACTGAGGGAACATCTGTCAGGGATCATCCCCTTCAATGCAGAGCCAAAAATGCAGAAAACAAGGCAAGTCTGAATCACAGCTTTGAAAACGCTTCCTAGTGACGGGTCACCAAACTATGAAATCAGTAATACTACGCAAAAGCTTAAGTCTCAATTGTATGGGACTTGTAGACAAAGGACATCTTTGGCTTCATCGGATTTTTCTAATCAATCAGCTACTGCAGTGGGCCCCTTGGAACAGACTTGAACTGGCTTGAGGCAGCCTAAACAGTGAAGGCCTGTTGGCTCCGTCCTGTGGTGCAGTTTGCACTGGGGGCTGCCTGTGGGTCAGGACAAGTCACGTGACACCTGGACCACCGTGCCCTGTGCAGAAAAGAAACAGACACTGTGTAGTCCTTTTTGACAATTCTCATTCTTTAGAGATGTTTTTTATTTTTCTTTTGGGCACCAAGCTCTCACATGAGCATGGTCACCAAGAGGCAAGCCGTGGTCACCTGCAGGCCTCCAACAGAAGTGAGTATGTCACAGTATGAGGCAGCACATGAGCTAGACAACTACAAATTGTTCTACAAGATGAAACAGTTCAACTAGTATCAATGCTCTCATTACATTCAGAGTAATATGTAATTTAGAGCAATGGTTCTTATCCTTGGCAAGGTGAGAGAGGAACCTTTGTGAGGAGCTGGGGTTCCCTCCCAGGAATGACTCACCCACAATTTTCTGTACAATTTCCCAGGGTCAATAAAGACTATTCATGGGCCTCCAAGCTACAAGAGGTGCACAGGCCCCAAGTTAAGCATCAATAAATTAGAGTAATAGTTAAAGATACACAAACACCTAAGAATAGCCAAGTGCGTTCCTGCAAACCTAGAGGCTCTCAGTCCTCTCTCATCTAGTACCTGGCTCTGTCTCCCAGTGCTGGGTGGAAAGTAACCTCCCCTCCCGGCGAAACCTTCGCTTTGGTCAGAATCCTCTGTGGTGGGATGCCACTCTGCTCCCTGGCACTGCCACATCAGAAGCCTTGGCAGGTGGCAGGCACAAGGCCTCATTTTGGTCTTGAATGGCAAACAGACTCTTGGCTGTCATAGAAAGACTCTGCAAAGACTTGCTTCAACATTTCCCATTGTTCAGACACAAAAGAAAACAACTCACGTCTATGCCATGAACATATCCACGATGTGCTCTTTTCTAATTACAAGGCATTTCTCTTCCACTGGGCCCTTGGCCATCCTTCTCAACTGACTTACTGCGAGGAGACATAACTCACAGAGCAGTATCATACAAGCTCTGGGGCCCAGGGAATCTCAAAAACGACCGAAGTCCAACCAACCCAACCTCTTTCCACACCTCTACTCCACCTTCTCAGAAAGTTCAGGCTTTTGTGTTCTTCTGAAGTGTTTAAAAATAGATATAAACTGGTCATCATTTGATTTTGAAGGATCTTTTAAATTACCAGATTTAGTACTGAGAACAGATGATAAAATTTAAAACTGCAATTACAATGAGAGAAAAAGTGTAACTATGCATTTATCTGGAAGAACTGAAAGTTACTTGGCTCTGAGGACAGCACCAGAAGTCTTGAGGTGAGAGCATCAAGTGGGCTGGGGGTGGGGGTGAGGTAAGGAGTGCAGTAAGGGGTAGGGGTTTGGGGGCAGGCTGCACCCTCCGGGTAAACACTGCTCTTCTGATGGGGTCTATCGGGAGCTGCGCCAGCCCAGTTTCCTGCCCCCCGAGTTACTTCCCCTCCCATCTGTGTCCAGTAGCACCTCAAGGTTCCCTATGGCAGAAGCAAGCATTCTCAGGCGAGGCTTCACACTTGGGGTTTTACAGCAGAAATCTGTTTTGAAACACGCCATGGGAAAGACAAATATATCCTTCCATGCACATCACAGGGAGCTCCTCCATTCTGAGCCAGCAAACATACAATCGGCTGAAGAATAATGAAAACATCTTAACCACACATTATGAGCTGATTGGACGGCCAGGGCACCGACACACTGGCATCCGCAGGGGGGCCGTTAGAATGGAAATGCGCAAGTGTGTTCCACTGAAGTAAAATCGCTCTTTTCATGAGCAGTGTTTTTGGGTAAAGGATGACAAGGCTTCGCATCAGCTCCCTCCTCCTCAAGCTCTAATGGAAACATCTTCCTGGCTGTGGGGCGGCTTTGCCACTCTGCCACCTGCTGGATGACTGGGCTGATCCCTGCCACAGCTGACAAGAAAGCCTCCTGTGCACCCGCCAGCAGGGTGGCTGGACACCACGGTCGGGAGGAGCGCATGGCAGTGCTACTGTTGCCCGGCTGGCAACGAGGAACAGCTGTTACATTCTGCTAATCATGTGAAGTGAAACATTTTGCTTGTTAATCAAACATGAGAAAACATTTTTGCCTTTTTATAATTAATTCTATTCTCAAAAAATAGAACAAACTTTTTATATTAAATATTAGATTATTATATTAAAATAAAGTTTAAAAACCTGTCCCCTAGACATGCTAGGTCAAATATGAATCTGAAATCTGACTTTTAAGATATCTGATTGAGAATCAGAAACTGCTCAAAAAGCAGAGACTTGGGCTCCAATCCTACGGCAGCTACATGCTGCTTTTACCATTTTGGATAAACTGCTTTTCTTTCTGACTCCTGCATTACCTGACCTGGAGATAAGGAAACTGGATGATTTTTGAATCCCCCTCATTTTTTTTTTTTTCTTTTTGAGAGACAGGGTCTCACCATGTCACCCAAGCTGGAGTACAGTGGCACAACTCATAGCTCACTGCAACCTTGAATACCCAACTCCAAGCAATCCTTCTGCCTTAGCCTCCCAAGCAGCTGGCACTACATGTAGGCACTCACCACCACACCCAGCTAAGTCCTCTATTTTCAGTAGAGATGGGGTCTTGCTATGTTTCTCAGGCTGGTCTTGAACTCCTGGGCTCACGTGATCCTCCTGCCACGGTCTCCCAAAGTGCTGGGATTATAAAGGCGTGAGCCATGCTGGCGAAGATGAGCAGACATCAGAAGTATTTCTAATACTAAGTTCAACCTCCATAAATAGTGAGTTCTCTTGCCCGAGACTAAATGTGATTGTTCACTGATGAAAATGCCTTAAGATACTTCCAAATGGCCACAGTGAAATAACCATATGGAAGGTAGCTCAGAGGAGAGCACAGGGAAGGCCAACGGAATGTGCTGCCTTCCGTAAACATAAACGCCAGGTAGGCCTCGAAGCCTCTGCTGGCTCTCTAAAGGCAGAATCTCTTCAACATGGCTCACGGAAAACCCTTTTGCTTAGTTGTTTGATCAACTATGTCAGTTGGTAGAAAAAGACTCAATAGGGCCACCCCTTTACAATCACGCTTCTACTGGGAGTGCTGGCGGATAGCAGGGGCGAGGCCTGGATCTCCCAACAGGGGCCTGACCACAGGTAGCACTGCGTTCGACTGTACCCCAACATCGGGAAGGGACGGCTCAACTTGGGAGGGGTATGGAAGTCACTAAGAACTATTTAGTAAAAAAACATTTCTGTTTTCTGGTATACATGATCACCTTAAAACTGATGCTGCGAGATGCCAGCTTCCATCTGCACGCCGTGGCTCCTGCCTGGCCGTCATTGCAAGGCCCGTGGGAGTGACGTGCCTCCCTCCGCCTGCTCTGCACAGAGTCCTGCATGGGACCAGCAGCTCCTGTCTCACTTTTGCACTTGGAGTTTGGGCCCTGGGAGAAGAGCAGCCGCATGGTTCCCCTCACACAGACATACTTGAGCTTTCCGTGTTGGCTGTTCCAGTGTCACTCTACCCACGTGTGTGCGTGAGTTTTAAGGACTGGCGCATCTTTAACTATGTTTGTTTCTGAATTCTCATTTCTACTAACTGAGTACACTGGGAACAGAGATACCTACCTTACTGCTGTGTGACTGGGTTCAAATGCACCTGGGCACAATGTCTACCTTGGAAAATGTTGAACAAATTTACTGTTTTTTTCCTAAATATTGTTGATTATAAAATTAGGATATGCTTGTTGTGGGAAATTTGGGAAAAAAGTAGAAACATTTGAAATCCTATCTCCCAGAGATAAATACTGTTAATATTCTGTTGTATTTCCTCCCCGTCTTTTCTCTCTGCCTTTTAACATGAGCAGAATATGAAATTCATTATCAAGCATGTATAATATCATATGGAGCCTTTTCTACTTTATACCACATGCATTTTCTCATGCCACTAAATATTCTTTAAAAAGCTGTATGCACTTAAATGGACTCCCCCCATCCCCATTTTAAGGCACTGCAAGTCTTCTATAGAAATTCAATAAATCCTTATCTGAATTTCTACATATTTCTCTAGAACTGATTCCTAGAAGGTAAATTATTAGGTCAAATATAGTAATTCTTTCTCAATGAAAGCCTCTCTCAGCCCTCTAAACGTACTGGCCCAGTTGTGGGTAGGGGTTGGTTCACAGTTAGCTGCATTATTTGCAGAGAACAATTTTGTCTTATGTGGGATCTGAAATTGGGCTTTGCTGTCCCAGGACTGCTGTCACAGAGGACACTGTCCTCAAATCCTTTTTCTTGAAGTGTCTAGAGATCATGCAGCATACTGTGGCCATCTGAAGACCACTCTCCCCAGCAGGCTGTGTGGGGAAGAACGGGCCATGCTTTGAAAGCTACAGAATTGTTTCCTTGAGTATAAGCACGAGAGTGGCTCTGGAAGAATCCAGTTTCCTTCATTAAGGAGCAAATGAGTTGACCCGGGAAAGTCAGACGCACAGACCTTGGTCTACGGTGTCCTCGCCACCCCCATGGTGATCAGGAGCCATACGCTGACGGGAGTTCCAATGAAGAGCACAGGACGGGCGAGAAGATGTGTGTGACTGACAGTCCTTCCACCGGGCAAAGGCCAAAACGTCCTCTGGCTTGTGGGTCTGGTGACGGGGACCACAGGCTTGCGGGTGCCCGAGTGGCTTCTCCTAAGCCCTCAGTCTCCTAGAGTCAGGCTGGCCTTGCGTTCGGCGCAGTTGAGGCTCTGGAGTCTGTAGCCATGCCCTACCATTCCTCTCCGTCTCCGAGGTATTCTTAACATTTATCTTTCTGGCTCCCCAGCTCAGGCCAGCTCTAGGGAAACACTACAATGGTGTGGCGCGTCTCCACTGCCCAGGTGCGGCTTGGGCAGAACGGGGCTTCCAGGGCAGTGGCAGACCCGGGTCTCCCCAGAGAGGCTCCACCCGCTGCTGCTGTCCAGGTGCTCACTTGGGTCCAGCAGGTGACCATGGGTCTCAACAGGAAGTTCCGTTCTTCTGTTGCCAGTGACTCACAGGACACCACTCAGCCCTGGAAGCTGGCTGGGACTCTGCCCCACAAGGGCAGGCACTGGTCAGTGGCCGGGGCTGCTCAACACTAGCGGGTCCGGGAATTCAGCCATTTTCGGTTTGCTACTGCACAGAGCTGAGGCAGCCAAATGGCTCTCAGCCCACTGCAGATCACCTGACACAAGGGCTGCCACAGGGAGGGACGTCGCATGACTGTCTCCCAGATCAGAAGATCACCGGAGCTGGACGAACTGCCCAGAGGTTCAGGACCACATTCCAGCTTCAGGCCCAGGTCTCTGGTACCATCTCCAGCCTGGCAGAGATCCTTGGTGTAGCTGGGGTTTCAGGGAGTCCTGGGTTCTCAGGGTGCGGTGACTGGGAGATGGGGCAGCAGTGGCTATGCATCTTGTGGCTTGGATGTGGCCAAGTCACCCTGAGTTTCACGGGTCTGTGGGTGAGGCAATCGCCCCCAGAGACAGAAGAGCCCATGAGGACAGAGCAGACAATGTGCCTTCTAGAAAGGAGGAGTAAAAGCAGATCCTTCTGGGGAACGTCTCTGTGCCTGTCTCTTCCTGCCAGAAAGCTTCTGATGAGGGTGCAGAGCGCCGGAATGCACTTTCAGCCCCTTTCCCAACCCTAACAGGCTTCCTTTGTTGAAGAGGAGATGGAGGAGGAACAATGGCTACTCGTGGGGGGTCTCTGCAAAGCACCTGCACAGTCACAGGCGGTATGGAGCAGCCGAAGGGCTGGAGAGCCGGGTCAGTGCCTTTCTTTCCTTGTCCTCCACTGAGAGGTAGTAAAGGGCATACCAGGGCACCACGTGACAACCCGTGGCCACAGGGAGACACGTGAAGGACCCCATCTTGGCTCAGTGAGCTACCCAGAAGGACCATCCTAAGGATTCAGCTAGCAGCACAGAGAAAGAAGAAACATGCATGACGTCCAGGAAGATTTCTCAACTTTAACAACCTACCTCGCATTTGTGATAATGATGAGGACTGTGGCCATGCTCGCAAGCATCGTCCTAGGCATTCTACACGCACTGCCGCACACCCTCCTATTTCAAAGACAAACGAAGGGCTCGGAGGGTGTGCTGGAGGTTACAGATAGAGCTACGAAGTGGGAAACTCTTGACTGCTAAACTGAGCAATACGCTCACTGGCCACTTGGTCTCCTTTCTTCAAAATCATGAGACACAGGCTGAGAAGAGTCCACGCGGATGTTGATGGTGAATCAAGGAGATGCGCTGTTTACAGCAACTGCACTCAAACGGAGCGTGTATTAGACTGCTCTGTAAGACAGGGCAGGACGTCAACTATTGGAAAGGTGGAACAAAGGCCAGGGAATCAGATGCTGAATTATCTTTGTGTTTTGAAAATGAGTAAAGGAAAGGCAGTTTGTGCTTCCTTCACATCCTTCCGCAAGTGATCGACAGTGCATCGCAGATATCCCAGTGAGATGGCCAAGAGGTAAATTCTTGGATTCTAAGACCTACAAACCTATAGTGATAAATCATTACCACTATAATATCATGGAGGGGTATACCAAATATTTGGCAAAAAGTCCATTTGAAATGATATCATAACCTAGCACTGAACAGTCCCCCCTTCCACATCCAAAATCTTTCCTGGAATTTAGGGATTTTTTTTTTCTCCCAACAAATGTTGATAAACACTCACTTGAGCTGCATAGTTAGTGAGACTAAAACAGAAACGCTGGGGGCTGGAGAAAGTGACTGATTTCCTCTGACCATGCAAAGGGATTACCAGGTGGTGAAACTGAGAACACAGGACCCAAAATGAGAGACAGGTTTTTAAAAGTTTGAGATTCTTGCTGAGGCCTCATAAACAGTGACCATTTTCCTGGAAGAGGGTCTCGACAAACAGTGAAGCCCCCAATGCCCTCCCTCCCCCACAGTGCTGACCCTGTTTCAGGAACCTTGGTTTGCTTTTCTGTAAGAAGACATATTCACTTAACATGTCCGATGACTTCATTTGTTGCTACTTTTCTACTTTTCTTGTTAAAATCTTCAGAAAGTAACCAGGCTGTTCCTAGCTCTCTTCCGGGAGAGGCTGCCCAGGCTCCCCCTAATATGGCTGCAATGGGCCCCTTCTCTAACGTGCTGGCCTGGAGGGACTGCCAGCAGCCTCACTGTGGCTAATGCCCTTGTGCAACTTTCCCACCATCCCTGTTCTTGGCTCTGAGGAGCCACCAGCCTCGCGCTCTGTCTAGTGCATTGGCTTCCACTTACAAGGAAGCTGTGGACCAGAGTTCCCAGGTGAAAGACTCTGAAGAAAGACACCAAGGGATATTTTCATTTCCTGGAAGAGCAGTGACCGCCTTCTCCCCAGTGCTCCTGGTGCGCTTGGAGGGCCACCCATCCACTCTGGGTCACACAGGCTGTTCCCTCTGCTTTCATCAGCAACCAGCCGAGGAGTGTAGACCTGAGAGGCCCCAACAGTGCCTGCCCAGGACGCCTGCAGGGAAAGTCCCTGCTGGGCTGTGGCGAAAGTAGCAGGAATTTTGTGTTCACCCTTAGAGGTGGATGTTGTTGATTTTCTATGCCCAAAGGAAGGATACTTTCAAACACTGAATGGCTTGGGTTTAAAGAATGGGAGACGTGCACACATATGCTTATTTGACCAATAGTTTTGTCCACACGAAGCACAAATGTCTTCTCAGTAATTCTGGCTGTTTGCCAGCAGAGACAGCATCATAGCCTACAGGCTGCCTTGCAGGGCCAAATTCCTACTGCAGACTAATTTGCAACGTGTGCCATTACCCAATCTGGAAATAAAAACGACACATGTGTAAAATGTACAAAGGCTTGGTACTGCCTTCTACTCAGGCTAGATCTGCTTGAAGATCCAGATCTTCAGTTAAAAAAAAAAATCTGGATTTAAAAAGGGAAGACCAATGAGATAATGCCAGGCAGAGTTTGCAGCACCTGGGATGGCAGAAAACAACTCTTAAAAATGAAAAACAGTGGGCAAGTAAAGCTTCAAGGCATTCGCCCTCCTAGCCCAGGTGGCCATTTCTGCCATCCACAGAGGCGGATTTTAAACGCAGCTGCTTTTTAGAATCCCAGAGATCTGTAAGCAGATTCTTGGGCCTGGGCCTGGAGACTCTCATTCAGGAGCCAAATTGTTCAAAAGCTCCTTGGGTAATTCTAACGTATAGCCACGCTGGGATTGCCAACAGCTCCCATGCCAGACAGAAAACACTTAAAAGAGGAGGGGCCACTAAGCTACAGGCCAGAGCTGGCCACGGCCGTGACCTACCTTGGACCAGGTGATTCCCATTGGCTGTGGGCGCTCGCAGCCTGTGGCGATGACTCTGGTTGGAGTGAGGATGTAGTCAACGGTGATGTCGTGCTCCTCAAGGAGCTCTTCAGGGATGTCCACGACCTGGGGGAACGGAGGCGGGATAAAGGGGCTGGTGGGAACGCCACTGCAGGATAAAGGGGCTGGTAGGAATGCCACTGCAGTCGGCACACTGCCTCACCCAGTGGGAATGTGAGGCTGGCTAGAGAAGCACCCCCACATCCACTCTGGGGCTAAGGCTTAGCCACTGTACCACTAGCAAGTCCAGCCCTGGCTGATCCACACCACTCATGACATGGCATGGTTCAGAAGCAGACGAGTCTCTTTCCCCACCCCCTGCTCCCTCAGAAGAGAGTGGCAGTGGCTCTGCTCAGCCCATTCATAAGGAGCACCTGGCAGTCGTGGACGATGGTGACCACCGGCGTCTCCTTGCTGACGGCACCCATGGATACCATCATGGCATATTCCAGATCGGCGTAGCCTTCTCCCTTCCCGATTCTCCAGCCTACGAGACAACCGAGAATCAGTATCGCTGTGTGGTCCGGGGCATTGCTGAGAAGTGGACTTTCCATCAGGTCCAGTGGAAGGAGAAGCTTGAACTCAATATCCCGAGCTAATCTATAGAAGTTTTCACAGAAATGCCCACCAAATGCCCACAAGCAGCCCACCATGAAGATGGACTTTTGGGCATTAAACAGGAATAACAACACAGCAAATGTCAGGTGGTGAAAACACAATGATGTGAACACTGGACCGTTTAACCGTGTCACAAAGGGAAACAGCTCACATTCATGTCAGCTTTATGTTAGCAAGACTGATACTTAAAAAGAATGAAAAGAGCAGTTCTCAAAAAGACTAAAAACAAATTCCTACTGAAAGCAAAATAGGTTTAATCAACTCACCTCGGGGGAGAATCGCCGCTGTGAAGTCAGGAGCCCAGGATGGCACGGCCTTGTTTCTTTAAAAACACTGAATAGTCACCACTAGACACCAGGTCCCGAGGGACGGTTTAAGCAGTACTAACGCGTTTTGCAAATCTGTAATGAGTGGCACCACAAAAGAATTATCTGAGCCTAAAAGAGCAGCTAAGATGAAATCGAGGTTTAACAGTCTCTCTAGCCAAATCAGCTATTCAGAGACAAAAATGCAGGAAGACAGGAAACATCAAATGCCTTCTGACCCTCACGGAGAAGCTACAATTCCTCTTGTGAGAAGCCTGAGGCCCTTCAGAAACGGAGGCCCGCGTGTGCCACCACCAGCATCACCCGCAGAACACCTGCATCACTGCCGCTGTGCCTGAGACCCACATCTGACCGTGCTACTCTGACAATTCAAAACCTCCAACTGCGCCGCAGAACACCTGCATTACTGCCGCTGTGCCTGAGACCCACATCTGACCGTGCTACTCTGACAATTCAAAACCTCCAACTGCGCATGCAAAGAAACAAGAGAAAGAAAACTCAACAGAAAAAACAGCAAAGGATATGAACAGTTCACAGAAAATGACAGGCAGATAAGCAGCAAACATACAAAATTCTTGACTGACTCCTAATTAGGTACAAATCAAAGGCAAAGGAGATACTATTCACTGCTCACTAGCAGACTGCAAAAAGTCAAAGCTGACTCATGCCAGCTAGGAACACGGAAGCAGAGACAGAGACCGGGCACCACTGTTGGGGCCGAAAGTGAGCGGCCCTTCTGGTGGCAACATCGAGGCTGACAAAATCCATCCTTCAGTTCAGCAACTCCCCTCCGAGGCCCTGGCCCATGGAGAGCCTCAAACACGCACCTAGACTATCCCCCAGAACATACTTCACTCTAGCATGATCTGTGAGGGAAAAGACCAAAGCCAAATCTGGAAATAACTCATAACGTATACATCCGTCAGCCGGGGTGGGCTTCAGTTACTGAGGGGCAGTCACGAGAGAACACCGTGCAGTTCCTCAACACGGGCCGAGGAGGTCGGCCTGCTGTGCTGACAGGAGGGGCTCTAAGACACATTCTCCAGCGAGGCACGGAGCTCTGTGTGTGCCACTGTCCCTTCTGTGAATGTGGAAAAGGGATGTCTATAAATCTATACCTACAGATTTATAGGTATAAGACTATAAGACAGGGGTTTCCAACTCCCGGGCCACAGACCAGCTGCCATGCCAGACAGAAAACACTTAAAAGAGGAGGGGCCGCTAAGCTACAGGCCAGAGCTGGCCACGGCCATGACCCACCCACCTTGGACCAGGTGATTCCCATTGGCTGTGGGTGCTCGCAGCCTGTGGCGATGACTCTGGTTGGAGTGAGGATGTAGTCAACGGTGATGTCGTGCTCCTCAAGGAGCTCTTCAGGGATGAGCTATAAGACAGGGGTTTCCAACTCCCGGGCCACAGACCAGTACCAGTCCGTGGCCTGTGAGGAACCAGGCCACACAGCACGAGGTGGGCAGTGAGTGAGAAAAGCTTCATCTGTATTTACAGCCGCTCCCCATCATTCTCATTACTGTCTGAGCTCCGCCTCCTGTCCAATCAGCCACGGCATTAGATTCTCATAGGCGTGCAAACCCGCGTATGAACTGTGCGTGCCAGGGATCTAGGTGGCATGCTCCTGATGAGAATCTAATGCCTGCTGATCTGTCACTGTCTCTCATCACCCTGAGATGGGACCGTCTAGTTGAAGGAAAACAAGCTTAGGGCTCCCACTAATTCTACATTATGAGTTGTGTAATTACTTCATTATTTATTATGATGTAGGAATAAAAGAACTAAAGTACACAATAAATGTAATGTGCTTAAATTATGCTGAAACCATCCCCTCCCTGGACCATGGAAAAATTGTATTCCATGAAACCGGTCCCTGGTGCCAAGAAGTTGGGGACCATTGCTATAAGATATCTGTGTTTCAGCAAAACAAACTGTCATCAGAGTGAACAGAGAACCTGCAGAATGGGAGAAAATTTTACAACCTATCTGTCTGACAAAGGTCTAATATCCAGAGTCTGTAAGAAACTGAAACAAATTTACAAGAAAAAAACCCAAACAACGCCATTAAAAAGTGGGCAAAGGGCCTGAACAGACAGTTCTCAAAAGAAGACATTTATACAGCCCACAAACATGAGAAAAAGCTCAACATCGCTGCTCACTGGAGAAATGCAAATCAAAACCACAATGAGATACCATCTCACACCAGTCAGAACGGCGATTATTAAAAAGTCAAGAAACGATAGATGCCGGCAAGGCTGTGGAGAGATAGGAAGCTTTCACACTGTTGGGAATGTAAATTAATTCAACCATTATGGAAGACAGTGTGCTGATTTCTAAAGGACCTAGAACCAGAAATACCATTTGACCCAGCAATCCCATTAGTGGGTATGTACCCAAAGGAACAGAAATCACTCTTCTATAATGGCACATGCACATGTATGTTCACTGCAGCGCTATTCACAATAACAAGGACATGGAATCAGCCCCAATGCCCATCAACGATAGGCTGGATAAAGAAAATGTGGTACATATACACTACAGAATACTATGCAGCCATTAAAAGGAACGAGATCATGTCCTTTGCAGGGACATGGATGAAGCTGGAAGCCATTATCCTCAGCAAACTAACGCAGGAACAGAAAACCAAGCACCACATGTTCTCACTCATAAGTGGGAGCTGAACAATGAGATCACACGGACACAGGGAGGGGAACATCCCACACTGGGGCCTGTCAGGGCAGGGGCAGAGGGAGGGAGGATATCAGGGAAAATAGCTAATGCATGCTGGGCTTAATACTTAGGTGACGGCTTGGTAGGTGCAGCAACGCACCACGGAACACATTTACCTATGTAACAAACCTGCACATCCTGCACATGTACCCCGGAACTTAAAAAAAAAGAGATCTGTGTCTCACACGCATGCTACTATGTATGACATCTACACTAGGAACTTCTAATGGGGCAGCTGGGGAAGGAACAGGGAAGACGTATGGTAGGGCTTTCTGTGCTGTTCAATTTTCTAAGCAGACACATGACTACTTTACTACTTTACACAGGGGGTTCGGTGAACAATGAAACTTACAAAGCATTGCTTTCTTCTTATACATCCCTGAACCTGATGATCTTTTTCAAGAGGCCCGGGACCTTTGCTGATTTCCCACCACCTAGAGCCCAAGTCCTATCATCTGGCCTCAAGGCTTCTGAGAAGGGGCTGCAACCTAGTAAAGGGCCTGCTGCCTGAGGACCCTTCAGCCCTCTCTGCCTGGACAGTGGCCAGCATGCAGGAGCCAGCCCTGAGGCCACTACTGAGGAGATGCCCCCTCCAGGCCGGCAGGTTCCTCCTCAGACTCCCCCTCCCACTCCCGTCAGTCCTGACTTGTGCCAAGCACTGATCATTTCAAGTCCTGTCCTGGTCCAGCTCTCGTGTCTGCCCCACCCACACACCGTGTACTAAGGTAGAGACCACCCAGTGGCTGCCTGGTACACAGCAGGTGCAGCAGGTACACCAGAACAGTGTGTTCCTGAGTCCCCAGCCTTGAAGACACAGACGAAGCACCGGAAACTGGGAATGCAATGAAAGCAAAGAATAATGTCCCCACATCAGCTCCAGTGGTGGCTGGGAAAAGAGGGTGTCCTGAAGCTGGAGATAGCGAGGAGTGGTGCGGTGACCCTGCCCTCTTGGCAAGGGCCCCCTGGCCTTGTGGACCGAGAGCAGCCTGCCTCACATGCAGCACGGCAAAGCACCAGGCCTCAGCAGAAGTCTCAGCGACACACCGTGTTGTTCAGGAGTCTGCTGCTTCATAATAAAAACAAAGCTTGGAAGGTACTGTTTTTCCATTTGCTGGAGTCCCTCCAAAACCAAGTATTTACTGACATGCTGAAAAGAAATTCAGCTCCAGCTCACTTAAGAACAGAGAGAAAACATTTCACCACCTGAAGAGAGAGTTATCTCACTTTGTTTTCCCTGCTAAGAAAAGTGAAAATGCTGTACCTGTGTTGGGCTGGGCCCAGGAGTGGGGGTGCTGAGCCAATTCACCACTGAAAAATGCAGTGGCTTCGGAGACCAGGTAAGCACATCCAGAAAGCAGAAATCACCGGCGACTTTTGAAAGACAAACAGCCTGGCACTGACAGCCTGGCACGCAGCCGCCTTCAGGCAGAGCTGTCACACTCAAGAGTTCCCATTTGCTAGTCTTACCTTTTTCAGAAACGGCGACGGATCCCACCACAACTAAATCCACAAGGACCCTGGAATCCAAGCCAATGGGGACACTGTAGCTCCTCACACCCTGCACACAGAGACATGGATTGGAAAACTTCAACGCCAGCTGCTTCCTCATTTTGTAATTCATGATCAAAGTGCGCTCAGGGTTTGAATCAACCTCTCGGACAAAACCGATGCAGGCACACACAGCACCGCGGACCAATGCAGGCACTCACAGCACCGCGGATGTGGCGTTTCAGGAGAAGCCGCATTCCAGAAACCGCTTTAGGGCAGTTCCCCGTCTCTTTCCCAGAAAGGTGGCCAAGGGGAACTCACAACATAAATTCATAGGCTGCCAATTTCATAACATTTAACAAATCGTTTCTCCCCATAAGGCAGAAAAGCACAGTGGTGAGAACACAGGGGCAGAGTCCCTGGGAACTGGGTTCAGGGCCTCTGAGCCACAGGACCCCAGTAGGCTGGAGCTCTCTGAGCCTCAGTTTCTTCCCCTGTAAGACAGGGACACCACCCTCTGCCTTGTCAGACCAGTGTTGGAATTAAATAACAAAACGTATGCATTTAGCACATAAGACATGGTCAGTAAACACTGTATGACATATTTATTCAATATAAAATCCTGAAGGGCACTATTTTCATGTACAATATACTCACTTCTAAAAAATTATCCCTTCACCCAAAATGTCCCAAAAGTGTATCACTTTATATTAATGTAGGCCTGCATGTAAAGAATAGGGAAGTTGAATACATTCATGATTCTCATAACATGGTTTATGTAAATCTCAGGAAAAAGCCATTTTCAGTCCTGTATCCAGCAGTAACTGATCATTCAATGTGGCAGTGCAGAGCTATGACAAGTTCCGTACGGATCAGTGCATACGGGTGGCTTGGGGTTTCCCGACAGTCACATAGGGGCTTAGTCCAGGAAACCCTCCACTGCAGGCAACCCTGTGTTCTCATGATCTTACAGGAGCCACAGGGGGCAGGCACTAACCAACTGCAGAGGAACAGACGGCTTGCATTTGTGAATGCTGACCATCACCATGGTTTTGTCTCATTTTTGTACCTTTATTTTTCCTTTGCTCCTTTCTCTCTCTATATATACATATTTTTTACTTTATCGTATGTATTTTTATAAATCATATCAAATTCTATTTTTGGAATAAGCAGGGTGCTAATAAGTAAACAATAAAACATTCCAGTTTTATACATTAGGCTTAAGTGGCGAATCCCATAAAAAAGGGTATCTTGAATTGCCTTATTTTTTATTCTCAGTAGATTAGAAATTAAATGACTTGGAGTTTACTTTAGGATTCTTAAAAAAGCCACCAAATTCGACTTCCTTAACTGTAAAATACATGACCAATTGTATTATAATGCACCCTAAAGTCATACTTGTACACTTGGTTTTACTAAATTGCGAGGCATTCAAGAAAATCTTAAATTTATAATTGTCAGCAATTACTCATTTAGAACTGGTGAGGCAATTTTCAGTGGAGCACGTTTTGGAAATTCTATCCCATCTCCCCAGTCGCTCTGGTGGCATCTGACGAACAGGCTGGGAATAAGAAAAAGCTCCACAATACTAAACATCGCAGGTTAACACTGGGCAGCGCCGAGAACCAGATCACTCGTCTTCCCTTTTCTTACAATAAGGAATTTATAATTTGCCAATTTGGTACAAAATAGAAATTGAGTTACAGAAATAGAATCTGTTTACTCAGTCTTCCTACTTGGCTCCGTTAATGACAGAATTCTTGAATACTTTAATATCTCTGTTCTTTTGGCCCTCTTAAAAATGAATTCCAACTGCGTGACGCTATCTTATGCTAACTTGTGAGAAGCCGTCACATGGTACAGTTCTTTCCTAGGTGGGGACATTGCTTCTGGTGCTTACCTGAGAGGTGGCACATTTTCTCAAGATGTCTTTAGTTGCCCCAGGGGGTGGTGTGATCTTATTAAACAACCCCGTTCTCAGTCGTGGTGTTGGAACCAACAATGTTTTTTTGCTCTTTTAAAGAAAAGACAATCAATAAATTACAAAACTAAATTATTCCATAGGACTTTCTTATATGTGCTTTTACCATTTCAGGAGGAGAGGTAAATTACTATTATCTGCATTCTTTTTTGGTGTGTGCCAAGGAAATTACTTATTTGAAAACCTAATTAAATAATATGTGGGGTCGATTTTTCTTAAAATCACCACTCCGCACCTCCTTACCCTGAAGAGCCACAGTGTTACTAAACTTGCTAATTGGACTTCACTTGCCATTCAAAATCGTTACAGGTAAAAATTGACAAGAGAAATGCAAACTAAGGCTGGTTCTGACAAAATCCCAACCTCAACTTTCCTGTGCCCTCTCTGCGCTCAGCACCAAGTGCAACAGAGTTACAATAATGTTGTCATTAGAAACTGGCAAGGCATAGCTATCTTACTCAAACATTTCTATGCAGTTTGGCTGTTCAGCAAATCACAGTCAAAGAGACCAGTAATCATGATAATCAATACACCGACATGTGCCAATAGCTCTTTACTTCTACTTAGTTCTCAAGTGCCTATTGTGAGAACCTCTACAACAGGGTTTCTCAAAGTGAGGGCCCTGGGCCAGCACATCAGTGCTTCTGGCACCTGTTCGAAATGAATCAGCCCCTCTGGGGGAGCTCTGATGAGCCTTCCAGTGACTCTGATACACACGGAAGTTTGAAAACCGCTGGCTGAGATGTCTCATAGATTATGCAAGGGTAAGCCACAAGGCAATCACAAGATCTGTGAAATCTTTCATGTAAATAATAGTATATTTTAGTTTTTGAGCAGGAGATGACACCACAAGACCAATAAAAGACCCATAACATCTGTTTGGCCTATTTCAACAAAGGCTTGTCAACCATGAGAGCAAAGGACTTCAACACAGCACTCTAACTGCCGCATGCTGCTTTTCTGTGAGTGGTGGAGTGTGGCTCCCTTCATTGGCAGTGTTGGAGTCCTATGCACCACATTATGGGGATCACTCTCTCTTTTCTAGAAGCTGCTCATCCTCTGGCTCAGTAGATCTCACCCTTTGGTGTGCATTAGAATCAGCAGCAAGCTTTAAGAATTACCGAGGTCTAGACCTCACTTCAGAGACCAATTGGAACCTGGCATGGCCAACAGACAGTCTTCAAACCTCCTTGAGTGACACCACCATGTGGCTAGAGCTGGCAAGTGGCACCTAAGCCAGTGGTCCTGAAACCTGTGCACTTGGAGCACCCCCAGAGTATTGATGAAACAGAGTCTGATGCCACTCTAGAGACTCACAGGTCTGGGGTTGAGCCTGGGAAGCTGTGCATGTCCCCCGCACTGTGGACTGTGCAGTCAGATACTGGCTGCTGTGCCTCTAGGTGTGGCCTGAGGCTGTGCATGTCCCCATTGCCTGCCCACACACATCTGGGGCTCAGGAACCTGGATTTTTACCTGCATCCCAGCTGATCCTTAAGTCCCTTAAAGTTTCCAAAAACCACTGAGGACCCTGTAAGCACCAGAACTCAGGGACCACATGTGTGTTGGTGTCTTTCACCACTACATCCTATGCCCAGCACGCAGCCTGGGAGATAGCTCAGTTATTTATGCAGTTGTTTCTCCAGCCTGAATAAACGATGGCATGAAGCAACAGGGATTTGCTCAGGGCTGCATCCCTCTTCCAGGCCGTCTTGGCTAAGGCTGACCTCTACACGGTCAAGGTTTCTGATTTTTGCTCTGAGGGGCTGACAGCTGAGAACACCCTGAACTTCACACCTGCAAGGACTGGCTCTGGAGTCAGGTGGCTGGGTCAGAATCCTGGCTGTACCGAGACTGACGTGTGGTAACCTGAGGTGGAGCCTCTCTGCATCTGGTTTCCAGTGTCACAGAGGAGAAGAGATGGCTCCCATAGGACTACTGGAGAGCTAAACCACATAACACAGGGAAAACATTTAGACAGAACTGCACCTTGAATGCAGCGACTGCCGACTGCTGTCCTTCCTTGCTACTGCTGCTATTCCTACTTCTAGCTTATTCAAATGATTCATTAACTGAGGCTGACAGGAAGCTACGCTTCCGGAAGAGCCTACATAGAAGTCTCTCTTGGGGCTGAACCGCCATCAGCAGACAAAACGATCTCCCATACAAGCCTGGACCCAGGGCAGGCCCCTTCTCTCAGTTCCAGCAAGAATACACTCTGCCATTCCCCTTTCTTTGCCACGCAGTGTGGAAAGCGCTCCTCTCACCAGGGCTTCTCAGGAATTTGACTTGACAACTTGGGTGGGAGAATGGTGTCGGCACACAACGCGTGGCAGCATAAGGCAGAATGACGACGATGCTGCCGTGAAATGGCCAGTACTATACTCATGTTATCAGCTGTGATTTGCTTCAGCAAAACCACACTAACCATTACATTACATTAATGGGGTTATTTGAATGTTACTGATTTTATAGTTTTGTTTGTATTTAACTTATATGCTTATTTTGGTTTTATAGTTGTATAAAAGCTAGCTGCATTAAAATTTATATGAAGTTTTATGTTTATCATATTGAATTAGGTTATAATAAGCTAATTTAAACCAACCCTGGGGGAGTTTTCTTTTTTTCCTTGAAAAGGGGCCTCTGTTTTCAGTCAAGAAACAGTGCTCTAATTGATACATTTTGAGGGCACATCAGGCTTCTTACTAGTGATGGATCATGTTTCAAAGAATTATAACACTACACCTATGACAAAAAGAACTAAGTATGTTGTAATCTTCCTCCTCTGATGAAGCACATCAAAACTGAGAATGTTTCCACACCATAGTTTCTGTGTCTGGTTGAATAGGAAGAAAAAAAATAAAAATTATAAGAGCATGTCTGAATTTAAAACGTTCAACAGTGTTGAGAAGAAACCTTTCCAGTTCTTATCCCTGGTCTTCATAGTCTCAGAACGTGACAAGTGACGTCTGTCATCCAGAGGCAAATGATTCTGTGTTCAGCCAGCTTGTCAGCGTGCTCATTTCAAATGGCAAAGTGGTGTCATCGCTTCAGCTCCGGCTCCTCAATTCCGGAACACCACAGGTTCTGCCTGCGTTCCCTCTCTTGTGCGGAAGCCATTGTTTTGAACATCCTTTATCTCTGAATTTAGACACATTTGGGACTCCTGATTAACTGAATGCTAAACAGCTGAAGGGCTTCTGAACTATTCTTGGAAAAATCACCACCAAGGGCACTTTCTCTATTGGAGGGAATCAGAAGCACTGACTTTCTAAATACAAGATAGACTTGTGCACTGACCAGCGACCTGGAAAAGGTGTCCCCCTTGGCAGCCAGGTCTCGGCTCCGCTCAGGGAAGTGGAATTACCTGCAGCGCCAGCAGCCGAACGCCTTCCAGTGGTTTATCAGGGTCCACTTTAACTTCCTGTGTTCTGGCAAAAACGTCTAGGTCTTTGATGTTTTGGCAAGCCAGATAAGACCCCTAGTTAGGCAAATAGACAGAGGTGCACTTACTTCAAGGACGAAGAAGCGAGCATTTTTCTGGGGGGCATCAGGATTTACTTTAATGGTCCTGGCCGTTTTGAACGCCTGCAAGCGTGGGAGTTGCTCGGCAGCAGGAGAAGCGCCCTGTTTCCAATGCAATCGCACGTTACTGAAAGGACAGCACACTCTCAGGCCAACTGCAGCCCAAGCAGCTTGGCCCAGAATCTCACCCAGACAGGCACTAACAGTCACCCAAAGAAACATCTAAGGAAGTAGTCTAAGTAAGGAAAGGGATTTGAGAAAAGCAGCCTAATCCCACTTGAGTTTTAACTGAAATAAAACACGCACTCCAAAAAGAATACAAATCGCGAGTGCAAAATGTGATGATTTTTCACAAAATGAAGACTGCTGTGTAACCACCACCAAAATCAAGCAACAGCATGACCTAGAAGCCCCACCTCTCTCCCGTTTCATTAATTTTTAAAGATTTCTACATGATTCTCTACATCCTTCATCTTTCCCTCTGCCAAGATACCTTTCTCTCTCTGGGGTCAGAAGCATGAAAACAAAACACAGTAACAACAGAAAATCATCAAAAGAGCAGTTTTTCAAAGGGACAGGACAGTCTTGGAACCACCTCAGCTGAGGACCAGAGAAGGTGGAGCTTGTTGTGGAGAAGCCAGGCTGGGGGAGAGACAGTCCCGACAAAATGGGGTGAAGCAAGCACACAGCTACGTCCTTCAGGCCAGAGAGAGCATTTTTGACAAGCGCTTTCTTTTTCTCTTGGAAAACAGGCATGCCAAAGATTATGAACTGTTGCACTGCCTCTTTCAACTAACCTTTTTTTTTTTCTGTCAACCCTGTTAGGAACAGCCATCTTTGATTGTCTTACATTTTGATTAGCTGGGAAACTGAGGCCCAGCATCGTTAGGCTGGCAAGGCATTCATTTCTTTCCGAAGGCGCTAGAGCCTGGACTTCCAGTTCAGTACCCTTCACTCCCTAACGCTCTTAGCAGGGTCAGTTTTGTGAAAAGCCATCACAACAATAACATGCTTCTGGCCAGGATAAATATTTTACTTTGTATCATACAGAAAACAGCAAGTAGCACCACCTCACCTAGAGACAACCAAGCCGCCCTGCACAGAGAGGCAAGAGGCCCCAGGTGAAGGGTAAACGACGTCTCCAAACGCTAAGGACGCCCTGGCCAAATGGTTTTGATTTCACACCACTGCTCACTGCTCACCACATTCTAATCCACCATGATGCAGTACGAGATTTTATTACGAGTGTTAGTCATTTCGGAATATCTTGTTTTCCTTTTCCAGACTCCAGAAATGTGTCAGTACCTTAAAGTTGGGAATCCTGTGATGAACAGGTCGGGGAAAATCAGCTAAATTTTGTGATTCCATGTGGTCCCAAATTTGCTCACGAATATCCTGTTTGGAGACACCTACTGCAACAAAAGAGTCCCACTTAATAACAAAAAAAGGAATTCCACAGCCCATGCTGAAAGCCTGCTCCAGTTACACGCTCAGCTCCCCACACCGGAGTTCATGACTATGCCAGACCAGATTGAGAGGTTTTTTGGTCTCTACATTGAAAAATGTAGTAAGTTTGTTTTTTTTTTTTTGAGATGGAGTTTCGCTCTCGTTGCCCAGGCTGGAGTGCAACGGTGTGATTTCGGCTTACTGCAACCTCCACCTCTGCCTCCCAGGTTCACTCGATTCTCCTGCCTCAGCCTCCTGAGTAGCTGGGATTACAGGCATGTGCCATCACATACTCACAAACAATTATTAAAGTTCACAGTAAATTAAACATAGCCCTACTATTTAATCCAGTTATACTAACCTTGAAGCGGTAGGGGAGCCAAATACAACCCAAGCCTTGTAACCAAGCCCTCCTAGAGTCCCTGCTTGGGGACTCAGGTTCTGCTGATGTAGAGAAACTGTCCTCTCAGTCTATTCAGTCTTGATATAACTATGATTCGCTTATTCTTGCCGTAAGTCAGGTAAGCTTGCCTTAAAACTAAGTGATCTATAAGACAGCTATTATTTTGGATTACTGACTGCAATCCCCTTTATTAGTGTGGGCTTAATAATTAGACGACCATGTTGGCCTCATCTCCTGTCATTCCTCACTCTGAATCCAAAAAGTGGCTCAAGGACTGTTCTTCCCTGGCCCCAACATACCTGCCTACCTCCTCTGCTCTCCCTCAGGTCTAGCTTAGATTCGACCTCCCCCAGGAAACACTCTTTGAGCGCTGTCTCAGGCAGATGACCCTCCTTTAGAAATCTAAAGAGTACCCATACCATTTGGGTTTTTTCCCCAAACTGGAACAATTACTACAAGGTCACCACATGTATCACTTTCACTAACAGCCCAGAGGGCCTGGAATATCCCCAGCCCTGCGCAGGATACCCTGTGGGACACCAGAAATGTAACACTGTGGCCCCTGCTCTGGAGTCAATTATCCCATAACAGTGATTCCCCCTAATAAAGCAATGGGCTAACTGGTAAGGGGAGGAGTCATTGCAAAAGAAAAGGGCAGGGCCTTTCCTTTGGAAAATTACAAAAACATGAGAAATAATTAAAATAATAAAAGGTGACACATAGTAATATGTGAAATGCCTGAACCCTATTCTGTAATTGTCTGTTTGCTCCCCCAGCAGGCTGTGGGCCCTGCTGGGTCAGCGTGGGTCTCATTCACCCTTCAGTCTCCAGTCCCAGCTCAGTTCTGGCACAGGGCAGGCATCCCAAAAGGTCACTCTAACCATGACGGCATATGATCACCCTCCGTCTATGTATTGTGTGCATGCTGCACACGTAGTATGGGTGGGAGTGGACCTGTTCACAGCTGGGGTTCCGGCATTTAACAGACCCTGGCACACCTTTTGTACTAGTAGTATGGGGTATCTGCTAGGCAATCCTGCGAGCAATCATCCACCCCTTCCCCCACTAGAGAGTGACTTCCTACAGGCCAGGGGCTCTACCGGAGGAAGCCTCGCCAGTGCCCAGAGAGGGCCCCGCGCGGACAGGGCTTCCACAACCATCTGTTAAGACCACAGCAGTTAAGCTACCCCCGCGTGTAAGTCAAACCGGCTTCCGATCCTGCCCCTGAGCCTTAGTTTCCCCGACCTCACGGGGCCCACAGGCTCCCCGACGTGCACGGCAGGTGTCCCTCCCGCCTTGTCTTCCCGTTATCTTTATTTGGTTGGACCCGAACCCAGCACAGACCCTCTCCGACCCCCTCGCCCGCCTCCGGTGATTCTGCGCCATCCTCTGCCAGCCCCTGTGGCCCCGCCTCGACCCTCACCGGTCCCTGCCGTCCCTCCCCATTCCCAGCCGCCCGGGCGCCGCGCCGCGCCCCTCACCAGCCCTCGGCTCCATGGCGACGCAATCACCGCGCGACATCTCCCGGCGCCGAGTCTGGCGCGCAGTGACGTCACCCGCTTCGCGCCTGCGCGACGGCGGGAGGGGCGGAGGCTGAGCGGGCGTGGCCCGGGCGCGCATGCGCGGGCGGGTAAAACCCGTGCCGGGGACCTTCAGGGACGTTCCCGGGCATGTCGTTCATGCTGTTAGCTGGTCATTGTCGAGCGCCGCCCGTGACAGGCGTTTTGCCAAGCCTTGGAGTTACTGAAAGAACAAGTCCCTGGCCTCTCGGGGCCTATTGCCGGTTGAAACACATCCCACCTCCTCTTCCAGTCCTAGAGGCCGCCTCCTCCGGAAAGCCGGCCTTGATTGCTCCTCCTGCAGGACGCGGTTCCCTCCTTTGAGACCCTGCAGACCCTCGTGTGCTCACACTTGGACTCAGCCGGCAGCTCTTTAAAGGGTCAGGCAGATGGAGATTCGAAGCCAGCCCAGCCCCGGCGACTGCGCTGCGGACGGCCAGAGGCCATCCTTTGAGAAACGCCCGAGAGGTCAGGGATTCTTACCCTGACCTCTGCATACCCTGAGAAAGAACGAACGTGGCAGCCTGCGTCTGCTCGTCTATGTCTTTCATGTTTGCCAACCTAAGGGTCGGGAAAAGACTCGAGGAGACCAGGCTGCACAGACCATCACGTCCATGCCCTCCCAGGCCCCAGTCCAGCGGGAAGAAAACCAGGGCGTTCAGCCTGGCGGTGCATTCACTTCTTAGGAAGAAGACATCCCCCAGCCCCACCCAGCACACACACACACACACACACACACACACACACACACGTGTCAGGGACCAGCCACTAGGAACCGCTCCCTGAGCGAATGAAGGCATCCCCGTAGCCACGTGCCTGGTACATCACAAGCTCTCAAAACGTGGCTGCCACCTTTCGAAATTACACGCCCAAAACTTTATGAGACCCTCACAACACACTTGTGAGACAGACAAAAGCGTTTGAATGCCTGCCCACTTGACCGATACAGAAAATGGTGTTCCGTGTTCAAGCGACTTACTCACGTCTGCCGGTAACTGGTACTGTGCCGATTGACCTCCTTAGGACATCATTAATGATGGTAATTAGCAGTGCTACGATGTGCCAGGCATTGAGCTTAGCGCCTTAAAAGTCATAGCTAAATATGTTTCCTAACAAACCGTCAGAGGCAAATGTGACCCGCCTTCTACGGAGGAGGCAACAGAAGCTCAGACATGTTAAAGCAGCTTGGCCTGAGTCTCCCAGCTGGGAAGGAACAGAGCAGTGATGTAGCCCTGACAACGTGCTTATTTGCAGCTCCTGTGGGTCCCATCATCACTCTCTCTCTCTCTTTCTATGTGGTGTCCGAAACGTTAATATATAGAGACACCGAGGAGCCTCAGTTCTGCTTGTGGGTGGGTCTGTCTTTCACCAGGCTGGCAAAAGGAGAGCAAACATCATTTTGGAGGTGATAAAATCTCTCAAAAAGGTTGGATGTCCTTTCCCCCTTTCATGGAAGCTTGGATCTGCAGAGACTGTTTTATGCAAGTAACCTTGGTCCCAGCGGTGGAAGTGTGTGCAGGATTCCGTTCCCCAGCTGTGCTGAACACAGAGCCCAAGTCTCTCAGATGGACAGCCTGGCACGGCCCCCAGAGGGTAATGAGATGCCAGGGACAATCTGCCAGTGGCAATTTTAGAAAGCAGGTGGTGCTAGGAAGGACATTCTCTTCAGTTCCTCCGTACCATGTTTTCAAGTTAGAAGTGCCTCAAAAAGCGTTTACACCCAGCTCCTTGAGGGGGTGAGGCAGAAGGTCACTTGAGCCCAGGAGTTTGAGGCTGCAGTTAGCTATGATGGCACCACTGTACTCCACTTGGGTGACACAGCGAGAACTCCTCTCTGAAAAACATAATAATAAATAAAAATAATAAATAGTAATAAAAGACCCCTTAGAAAAAAATCAACGGGCTCTTTTATGCAAGGAAGATGCTCTTAGGATAAATAGCTAATGCATGTGGGGCTTAGTACCTAGGTGATGGGTTGACAGGAGCAGCAGACCACCATGGCACGCATTTACCTATGTAACTAACCTGCACATCCTGCACATGTATCCTGGAACTTAAAATAAATTTGTTTTAAAAAGAAGGTGCAATTGAACTTTAACTCAAATACTTAAAACTCAGTCACATATGTACATTTGCATTTGGGCACTTCAGGATTTTTTTTTTTTTTGGGGGGGGTAGACTTTATTGTTTAGAAAAGTTTTGGTTTGGCCGGGAGTGGTGGCTCACACCTGTAATCGCAGCACTTTGGGAGGCCGAGGTGGGCAGATCACTTGAGGTCAGGAGTTTGTGACCAGCATGGACAACATGGTGAAATCCCATCTCTACTAAAAATACAAAAAATTAGCTGGGGGTGGTGGCTCACGCCTGTAAGCCCAGTTACTTGGGAGGCTGAGGCAGGAGAATCACTTGGACCCAAGAGGCGGAGGTTGCAATGAGCCAAGATTGCGCCACTGCACTCCAGCCTGAGTGACAGAGAGAGACTCTGTTTCAAAAAAAAAAAAAAAAAAAAGAAAAGTTTTACTTCATAGCAAAGTTGAGCAGAAAGTACAGAGAGTTCCCATATACCACCCCTGCCACTGCATTTATACACAGCCTCCCCCACTATCAACATCCTGCAGTGGAATGGCACATTTGTTACAATCAGCAAACTTACACTGATACATTGTTTCCATCCAACAGCCATAGTTTACATCAGAGCTCAGGCTTTATGTATGTTCTGGGGTTTTGACAAATGCATAATGGCATGTGCCCATCCCTGGAGTATCATGCAGAATATTTTTACTGCCCTACGGATCCTGTGTGCTCTGCCTCTTCTTCCCTCCCTCCCTGCTAACCCCTGGCAGTTACTGGTCTTTTTTCTTTCTCCATAGCTTTTTCTTTTCCAGAAAGTCATATAATTGGAATCATACACTGTGCAGCCTTTTCAAACAGGCTTTTTCCACTTAGTAATATGCATTTAAGGTTCCTCCATGTCTTTCCATGGCCGGACAGTCCTCTCTTTTTAGTGCGGAATAATCTCCATCGTTTCGGTGTCCCACAGTTTATTTATCCATTCACCCACTGCAGGACCCCTCAGTTGCCCGTACATTTTAGCAAATACACATAAACCTGCTCTAACTATTCCTATGCAGGTTCATGGAGGATTGCAAAGCTTGTCACAGGCATCCGATGAATCCTCAGCCCTTTCTTAGAACCTGGCTGGAAGGAATAGCGTGGAAATGGGGAGTCTTCCTAGGCATGAAGAGCGTGGCTGTGAATCTCCAAACTGTGTTCCCCTGTATGGTCTACTTTAAACATCACAGTTCTCCGAAACTACATCTAGTAGCTTCAATTGTACTTTCAATCTACGTTCAAAGTAATGGCAAAAACCGCAATTACTTTTGCACCAACCAACTTAACAAAATGTAAGATTGTTTAATAAGCTAATAACTGAAAAGATATTCGAAGAATTTTTTCAAATTAGGAATTGCCAGATGAAATACAAGTTTCCCAGTTAAACTTGAACTTCAGATAAAGTGATTTTTTTTTTCATTTTTAGTGTAAACATGTTCCATGCAATCTGTGGGTATCGTTATTTTCATTTGCTCAAGCTGGAACCTGAAAGGACCCCCAGTCTGTTGCCAACTTCTTCCAGAAACTCACACAGCCTCCTCCTCCCCTTTCTGATTCTTCTGGGCTTGCTCAGCCCGGCCCCTCCCTCCCTGCACCGCCCAGTGGCAGGGACTGCACCGAGGTAGAGGTTTGACCCTGCTGCCTGGCTGGTTCAAATCCCAGGTCTGCATGCAGCTCTCTAGCTGCATGAGGCTGGGGGAGTCACTGAACGTCTCCGTGCCTTGCTTTTCATTTGCGGGGTGGAGATAGAAGCTCCGTTGGCATCCGCTTCTCCACACTGGTGATGGTGAAGTGCCGGATCCATGCAGCCCAGAGAACAGCACCTGGAGCGCAGGGAGAGCTCTCTATGTGCAATGGCCTAAAATAAAGTTTCAGCCTGTCATCACCCGTGCGCCTGACACAGCTTGGGAGCCAGGGAGCACTTGACGATGAGTCCCCATTTCTTATGCAGTGTCTGCCTTTATAAAATAAGTGCCGGTAAATGTTTGAAACAAATTCTGGGGTTGAACCACAAATGGGAGACAAGGCCTGTGAGTTCCAGTTCTGGAGGCAGTGCAGCCGGGGAGGGGGTGCCTATCTCTGAAGTCCCATTTGTTCAATGTATAATTAAGAACATGGAGTCTGTGTCAAGCAGAGTCATGCACAGGACGGACCAGGCCCCTGCCTGTCTTCCCTGTATGGGGGTGGTGAGGCGAACAACAGACAGAAGACCGAATGAGACTGCACCAGGCAAGGGGGCCTGTGCCACCGAGAACATGAGCGAGGAGAAGCGGGGAGGTCATGGGGGCAAGGTGAGCAGGTGGCTGGGGGAGGCCTCGGAGGAGGGGGCAAGGGGGCAAAGAACTGAGATGAGGGACCAGGCCCAGGGCACAGCAGGCACAAAGGCCCTGCGGTGGGTCCAGGCTGGGCTGGCCATGCAAGCCCGGTGTCGGGGTGCACACAGGCAGAGGTGGGTCCAGGCTGGGCCGGCCATGCAGGCCCCATGTCGGGGTGTACACAGGCAGAGGTGGGGGCCAGGACCAGGGAGTCTTCTTGGCTTTCACGGGCTCCTGAGGGCGGACAGCACCCAGTGACAGTGGTGGTTGGACTCCCCTGGGGCAGCGCTCTGCATTCTTGGCTTTATTCAGTGAGACCCACTGGGGTCCCACTCAGTTATGCCACTGTGAGCCCCAGCCCTAGTCCCAGTGGTTACTGGAGGCACTGGCTGAAGCTGCCCCAGACTATGGCTTATTC